GAATACTAAGTACAAAAGATATTTGGTTACAATGTTTGACCGAAGCCGGAATCGCTACTCTATTACAAAAATTCTAAGGATGGATCTCCTAGCTATCGGTTCCTTGGACTTCTTCATTCGGCTTTGAGGCGGCGTCATCCTCCGCTCCCTCGTCTTCATCATCATCACAGTTGAGGAGCTCTGAGTCCTCAAGTAGCACCCTCTCTGTGCCCTCGGGGAGGGGAACCCTTACGTCCGGCTGGAGAGGGGGGAGGCCATAAGCCTCAGGCTTAAAATCCTTCGGATCGACGCCGTAGTGACGAGCAAGCTTCCGGTAGAGGTTCGCTTGGGTGAAGTACTCACCGCCCTCGTAGAATGACTTGCCTTTCTGGGCTAGCCACAACGCGCCGGGGCCGGACACCCATTCTTCAACAACCTCCGGCACGATAGAAGACACCCACTCCTTGTGGCTCTCAGCTCTCCAGCCCCCGGCCTTGAAAGCGTCAATGGCACCCTTCGCGGCATCACTCACATCCTCCCTCTTGACGGCCTCGGCGGCCTCAGCGGCGGTCTTGGCGGCCTCGACAGCAGCCTTCTCGGCTTCAGCTTTACCCTCGGCCCGGGCTTCCTGCCTTGCAGCTTCCAGCTTCTGCTCAGCCTGCCGGAGGGCCTCCTCCAACCCGGCTAGCTGCCTAATGGCCTCGGTATTATTGACGATGAGCTTCTTCATGGCCTCATCAGATTTGGCTCTCTTAAGACGGTGCTGTTCCGCCCTGCGGACGAGCTCCCCGAAAGCCACGCTAGCCTGCAAACACACGAAGGAACACTCAAGTCCGGACTAGGCAAAGGGAAAAACATTAAGGCAAAAGTTACGAAATATCAGAGCACTTACAGTCACCGAGGCCTGAAGAGCTTTCAACTCGAGGGATTCATCCGCAAACCTCCCGAGGGTTGACCGATCCGTCGGAGGGGTGGCACCCCTCAGGAAGTCCCTCGGGTCCAACGTGCCATGCATAATGGCACTCCCCTTCTACACAGAGAAGTTGATGTTCTCCGTAAGCCAGGCCACCCTTTCTTGAGCCGGGGCCTCAGAGGATGAAAGCTCCTCTACGACGACGATAGGGGCCTCCTTATGCTCCGCGGTCCCCTTTGGCTTCTTTTTCTCCGGGGGCTTGATTCCCTTCCCGGAGTTCTTCCTTTTCAGCCCCACAACCTTGGAGCCTTCCTCATCGACAGCTTCTGAGGGCCCCTCACCCTCATGGTTCTTGTCCGCCTCCGGCTTCTTGAAGAACTCATCCACAACTCTCTGAGTCGGGGGCCCCTCGTCTTTCTTCTTCTGCTTAGCCAGTTGCTTGGAAAGCTTGGCAAAGGCTTTCGGGTCCATGATGTCACCTGAAAAGGGCAAAGGAGAGTTAGAAAAAAAAAAACAAATCAGAGACAAAAATGACTAAGTACCGGAATCAGAGCCCCTCGGCAACAACCTCTAGCACCCTGGGAGCCCCGGTCAAGTAGAGGGTATCTCTCATCCTTCTCCCCCGGCAAGCGATACCGTTGAAATTCTAGCTTAAGCAACTCCTCCGGAAGCGTGGCAGCCTTGATAGTCGTCAGCTTTTCTGAACCAGGCGGCTTCGCCTTTAGCTTTTTTCCATTGCCCTCGAGGGCAGCATTACCCACCTTAGGGTGTCTCCGAAAATGGTTGCGAAGGGATCTCGGGAAGGTTACTCCCGGCATCCTGAGGTAACAGAAACGGTCCTTCCATCCCTTGTGGGACGAAGGCACCTCCGAGAAAAGCCTCCACGCCGGCACTTGTTGGAGGTTGGCGAAACCCTCGCTATTGGCGGCCCCCCCCTCGGCACAGGTTGAAAGATAAGAAAAATTGGTCCAATGTGGGGCGGACCCCTCGGCTTTGGCATTTCGAGAGAAACCCGGTAATGTAAGAATGACTGTTCGGGGTCAGCTGGCAGGGGGCGAGATCCACGAACCGGAGATATTCTACCAAGAAAGGGTGGAGCGGGAACCGGAGACCCAACTCCACCGAAAGAATGTGGACAGCATAGCAGCCCTCCGGAGGATGCAGCACCACGTTGTCGGTCCCTGGCACTACCACTTGTGCCGACGGGCTAACCAGTAGTTGAGTTTTGAGATACTCCGCCTCCCCGGCCTTCGTCTTCAATTCGAAGGCGGCTGTATTAAGATAAGAATGCCCTTCGGGAATTCCAACCGGTTGCCCAGCATCTACCGCCGCCTGTTTATTTTTTGAAGCAGCCTTCAGCTTCTTCCTCTTCTTTCCCGGAGCGACGCTCAAGGGTTCTGGTTCGAGAGGCCGGGAGCAACTCGCCTCACCCGAACCTCGAGGAGGCATGATGGCGACCGTCACCCGACGGCGTTCCTTCTCTTCTTCTTCTTCGGCCACTTGAATCGCAATGGCCATCTCCTCATCTTCGGCTACCTGCTCGAAGTCCTCGGCCTCCGCCTCGGTCCGGAGCTTGTCTTGGATCTCTTCGGCTATGGCGGAATCATTTCGCGTCGACGACTGCTCACTTGAGGACTCCACCTCGGAAAGGCTTTCGGATTGAATCGGGGCCTCCTCTGATATGTTCTGGGAATCGCTTTGCGAAGACATTTTGCTACTAAGGGCGAGAATTTCTAAGGACAAAAGCTACCTAAGTACCCTACCCGAAGGCTACTAAGGTCACTAAACACCGGATCAAGGGGAAGAATAACAAAGTATGCTAAGTACAAGAAGAACATGTGGGAGAACTGACCTCGGGATTTAAGTTTGATCGAAAGGATTTCTTTCTCTCTCTAGAAATCAGTTTGCAAGAGCTTCGCTATCACGTAAGATCGCACAAGGAAAATGAACTCGGCTTTGGGGTATTTATAGGCAACTGGGCCTCGAGAACTGGGCCTCGATTTGAAAAGCCCATCATTACAAGCCGCCGGTTCAGCCAATGGATGGCTCCCGCCCACCTTCAGCTATCACTTTCCGCAGCCTTCAGACAACGAACTCCACCAAACGCCTTCGAGCTCGCAGCAGCATAAGCCTTCATCCCGAACTAGCCTTCGACCTAAAGGAGTGAGGGACTGGGATACACCCCTCGGGAGCTCATCAACACATCATAACTCCTTCATCCCTAACTAGCCTTCGACCTAAAGGAGTGAGGGACTGAGATACACCCCTCGGGAATCACGCAGAACAAAATTTCCTCAGGCAAATTTTACAATTGACGCATATAGCCTCCGGGCAACATCAATGTACCCCTCAGCAGAAGCAAAGCATCAAAACACATACAGGTGATACACTTCCCTCAGAAAACCCTCGACATGTGAGGGACTGAGGGGAGCCTCCGGCAAACCTGCGAATGTTATGTATACTTTTCCTCAGAAAACCCTCGACATGTGAGGGACTAGGGGAAGCCTTCGGCAACCAGCAGAAGACAAGTTCTCAAGCAGAGGCACCCAACGAAATGAGGAAGCCTCTAGAAGAATCAACGCAACTACTCCTTTTTCCTCAAGTACCTTTCGGCAAAAGGAGTGAGGGACTCCTGATGGAGTATATGGCCCAGGAACCCCCGGCCCATAGACTCCTACTTCTCCACATAAGCCCATTGAGCCCAGGGAACATCTCAAGCCCAAGTGCCACGGCCCAAGCCTCAAAGAAGCCCAGAATACACACTGGGGGTGGCTTCGGCCTTCTTGGCCGAAGGCTCCAAAACTCACAGGATAGCCTTTTTTGGGCACACGAAACTACTGGGAGAAAACGGCGGAAAACAGAAACCTTCGGCATCATCGAGCCTTCGGCATCATCAAGCCCTCGGCATCACAGGAGCCTCCGGCTGAACCAAGCCTCCGGTCACGCGGGGCCTTCGTCTGCACATGGAGCCCTCGGCTACACGAGGAGCCTTCGGCCAAACATGCTCAATCATCGAAGATTCCTTTTGGAGACAGTCAACCACCGCATTTAATGCAACGTCACATCCGCCAACCGCATTCAATGCGGTGAACGTACCACTGCCGGTGCCACCCGATTGATGTGGCCCCTTGGCCGTTGGATTACTGACACGTGTACTCTCATCGCATTTATTGCTGCTATAAATAGCAGCCCATTTGTCATTGTAAACGATCCCACATCCAGATCCACATCTCGAGTTCATTTAATAAAATCGACTCTCTCTCCTCCTATTCGCTTTGACTTCTCTCTAGTTATTCCCGCAATAACCCCTCGGATAAGATACCCCCGGGTAGACAGTCCATCAGTAGTAATGTGATTTGCTACTTGAATATGTGTATACTTTTATTTGTTTTTTTACTATATATGTTATTTTATTTTATGAAATATATAATTTAAATGTTCAAAATAATACCCGTATTTTTTGTCCGAATTTTTGTAATAGATAACGTATTATACACGTATATGTATTTACACGTTTTTTAAAAGTCAACATTTTTTTCAACGAATTTTTGACCGTTTTTCATTCATGTTACCGAATAAATCACGTACGTATTAAACCTCGTTTAATTCCCAGGGATTAGAGAAATAGCAGTTGTTTGATGTTTCTGAGTTGATTGTACAATACTGAACATGTTTTTGTGTTTTTTTCCAGTTGAATAGGCTGGTGTGGCACTGTAAGAGAAGAGCCGCCACTTCAAGTGGCGGCTTTTGTACTATAAGAGAAGAGCCGTCACTTCAAGTGGCGGCTATTGTACTGTAAGAGAAGAACCGTCACTTCAAGTGACGGCTTTTCTTAACCACGGTTAACTCCAACAGTATTTTGAAAAATATTTTTATCCCAGTGTTTTGGGAATTATTTATTTAATTAACATTATTCTGGGAAAAATTCTAAGATATGAAACGTCATAAATTTTAAAGTCGAGCATCAAAAGTATCACACTAAAAAATGATCAATTTATAGAAGATTAGAACTTCTTTTTTTTACCGACGGCCCTTTTTTTTACAATTTGGTCATTTGGCCGACTTTTATGTGATTCGTTCTCAGAAAACGCATGACTGGGATTGCAAATGTTTGGAACAACAGAAATGACTACACTATACATGCCACTGTTCAGAACCTGCATAACCTCAAGATCACTCACTCAACTCCATGCCCGCCTCATTATCACAGGTCTCCACAAAGAAGCCCAAGCTTCCACTAAGCTAATAGAGTCCTATGCCAAAATGGGCTCCCTTGCAACTTCAAGAACCATATTTGACTTATTCCCAGAACCCGATTCTTTCATGTGGGGCGTGCTGATCAAGAACCATGTCTGGAATTGCTGCTTTCAAGAAGCCATTTATCTCTACGACGCCATGCTTTACCAGCTTCCTGAAATGAGTGATTACATATTCCCTTCCGTTTTGAGGGCCTGCGCTGCAATTGGCGAACTGGGTGTCGGCCAAAAAGTCCATGGGAGGATAATTATGACTGGGTTTGCGTCTGATCCTATTGTTGAGACCTCTTTGTTGAATATGTACGGCGAGCTGCGGAGTGCATTCTATGCACAGAGACTGTTCGATGGAATGTTGATAAGAGATACAGTTTCGTGGAGCTCGATCATTTCCTGTTATGTACATAACAATCAGCCGGGTGAGGGTTTGAATGTATTCAGGGAAATGGTGAAGGAAAGTGTTGGAATTGATTCAGTTACACTGCTTAGTGCAGCAGATGCCTGTGGGGAGTTGGGTCTATGTAAAATAGCAAAATCTGTGCATGCTTATATGTTGAGAAAAAACATCCCAAGTGATGGGGCATTGAGTAATTCCCTTATTGCAATGTACGGGAAATGTGGAGAAATAGCTAACGCTGAGTCACTCTATCGGCGTTCTATCAATAGGAGCACTTGCACATGGACAGCAATGATTTCCAGCTTTAATCAGAACGGATGTTATCGTGACGCATTATCAGTTTTTGTTGAAATGCAACAGTCAACTGCGGAGCCCAATGAAGTCACTTTGATGAGCATTTTGTGTGCTTGTGCAAGATCAGGTTTGTTAAAGGAAGGGAAAACCATTCACGGTTTTCTTATCAGAAATGATGTTATAGACTCTAATCCTAATAATGACGTGCTGAGGTCTGCTTTAGTAGACTTGTATGCCAGTTGCAGAAGGCTAGGGGATTGCCACAAGGTATTTGACACATCTAAACATCGGCATATCATTTCGTGGAATATGCTTATATCCGGTTACTCCAGTGAAGGGATGTGCATAGAGGCATTGAGGCTATTCATGGAAATGAGAAGCAAGGTAATACTTCCAGACTCTTTTACCCTTGGAAGTGTCATTTCAGGTTGTGGAGACAACGGATTTTCTCAAACTGGGAGCCAGATGCATTGCCATGTCATCAAGGCAGGATTTTCAGGTAATGAGTTTGTCCAGAACGCACTAATTGACATGTACTCTAAATCCGGGCTTTTGTGTTCGGCTTATGCCGTCTTTGAGGAGATCAATGACAGAGGAGTTGTGGCTTGGACATCAATGATGTGTGGGTTTTCCCAAAACGGTAAATCTGAGGAGGCTATTGCTTTGTTTGATGAAATGTTTTCCGGTTCACTTCCAATGAGCGAGGTGACTTACTTGAGTGCAATTCAAGCGTGCTCTAGCATAGGGTTTCTTGAAAAGGGAAAATGGATTCACCATAAGCTGATCGTCTTTGGTGTAGTAAAGGATGATTTGTACATCAACACAGCTCTGACAGACATGTATGCTAAATGTGGAGACCTTCGAACAGCTCAACAAGTCTTCGGGAGAATTGCAGAGAAAAGTATAATCTCATGGAGTGCGATGATAGGCGGTTATGGCATGCATGGTCATATCACTGCCGCAATATCACTCTTTTCTGAAATGGTAGATTCTGGAATAAGACCAAATGATGTGATTTTCATGAATATTCTCTCTGCTTGTAGTCACGCTGGGTATGTGAACGAAGGGAAGTATTATTTTAAGGCCATGTTTGGTTTCGGTATTGAGCCACAAACCGAACACATCGCATGCCTAGTGGATCTTCTTAGTCGGGCAGGCGATGTAGAAGGAGCATATGAGATTATCAAATCAATGCCATGCCGTGTAGATGCTAGCATCTGGGGTTCACTCATAAGTGGGTGTAGAATCCACCACAGAACAGATATTATCAGAAGCATTCAGGAGAACCTTTTGAATGTACAGACTGTGGATAGTGGATGCTATACATTATTAAGTAATGTACATGCAGAGAGAGGGGAGTGGAGGGAAAGCAAGAGTGTTAGGTCCAAAATGCATAGTGCGGGCCTTAAGAAGGTCCATGGGTATAGTATGATTGAGACTGATAGGAGTGTTTTCCCATCCACTGGATGATCTGGACTTGCTCGCTTGCTAGAGCTGGTATGCATTTACACATTATTCATTGATTGAATGATTTCGCATCCTGTTATCTAATTACTTATTTACTTGATTGGCTTGTTTTTGTGTCTGTGTTTTACTTTAATAGTTTAATGTAATTATTATTATAGTAGCAGATGGTATGGAGAATGTGAAGGTAGAGTTGATCCACACATGGATGAGAAAATATATATATTTAAAAGAACACTTACTTTAATTGGCTCATTCAGTTCTTCTGATTCATTTGGTTTTAGTTGATGATGTATGTAGGGGGTGTTCCGGTGTTTGGATCTGATTCCCTGAAGGAGCAGAAGCAGAAGTTGGAGTGTTTGAGTGAAAGTGCAGAAGTGATTCTGGTGCTCTAATTTACTCCCAGAATCAGTTTTTTTAGAAGCCGGGGGAGACCAGTTTCTGAAAACTGATTCTGATTCTGCTTCTGCTTTAAAAAAAAAGCAGAAGCAGAATCAGTTCCAAAGACCCCCGTAGTATGTACTATGTACATATTCTTGCAATAGAATCAATGGTCATGTTTAACTCAAAATGCTACTACGTATTTGTTTTGTGTTTAGCGAAGAAATGCAATCGTAATGCCAACTTGCCAAGTGTTATTTCTTCTCCACACAAAAACATCTTAAAAACATCAATTTAAAAAGTTTCTTAAAATATTCCATTTTCTATAAGAAAAGAGGGAAAACATTATATTGTACTCCGTATTTAGTTTGGCAAATATTCACATATTAATAGAATTTATTGGTGTAATTTTGTGTTTATATTTTTTAAGTAGGTTTTTCTTTGATTTACCTGAGGACCATTGAAACGAAGGGATGAGAAATGGTGCACATGAGCGTGGGAACATGATGAGAAATGGCGCACAACCGCACATGGAAGAAATTGAGTTGTTTCACCTTGTAGGGATTGGTTGAGTGATGCAGAAATAATCTGAAATTGTGAACGATATATTAAAAAAATTGATTATAAAAAAAACTATATCCAGGTTGATGAAATATTGCTTTTCCCCGTTTTCATGGGGTTTTGGTGCTATATTATTGATATATCGTTGTGTTTTATTTTCTCTGCACTAGTTTCAGGTAAAAAGAACTCATAGTGCTTTTTGGTGCAAGGATTTGGCATTATCGTTCAAGGGACATATATAAGCACTTTAGCAACATCAAGATACTGTGGTTCAAAGAGGTATTTTGGCATTTTAATGAAGATCCGGGGCCCGGCTGTGTTTGGTGTGGGAAGTCAACATGGTTGGCATTATTCATATAGAAAAAGAATATTTAATGTTAGACATATTGATATTTCACAAAGATGGTTTTGGTGAGTTGTAGCTGGATGGCTGTTCGAAGGGGACGGTCAGAATCTGCTAGCATTGAGCACAGCAAGAGTCACAATGAGGACATATTGGTGCTTTTTTCCCAGCAGAATTTGGCAACATGAGTTCAGGTCTAAACTGTTTTATCACTATAATAAGTGGCTGTATAGTTCAATCACCGCTAGCCAGGCGTTAGCAGTATTCTGTGTGTAGAAAGTAAAAGTATTGATCTTGAAAATGCAATCTTCTTGCAGTGTGCTCTGAATTTGGAGCAACACCACATCGCCCAGCAACTGAGAAATAAGCTCGCTGAGGTTAGTTTGTAATTGTAAAATATTAAGTGATATTTTTTCAAGAATTTAAGATTATTACCATAGCAATAAAATATGGTTTTGAAATTGTCTGTTATACTGTGGCAGAGTTACTTTATTATTTTCTTCTAATTTTATAGCGTCCCTGCCAATGTCTATCTAGGCAATAGGCTATCTCAATCTGCTAGACGCTTCATAGTGCTCTTTGACAACAATGGACGGGGCTCTGGCCCATCCAAGTTCAATCTGTGTTTTTATTAATGCATACATTGGACTCATTTTACATTACAAAGATTGTATAAAAAGGGCAGCTCGGGGCACGAATCCCCATAAGGCGTATAAGGGGCGAGCCTTCCCCTGTCAAATTTAAATAAGAAGACCCTCCCAAGACTTAAACCCGTGACCTCTGGGTCATACAGCAAAATCTTAACCATTGCGCCAAGCCGCCATGACTTGATGTCTAATTTATCCATTTTCATTCTGGCCATCTAAGTTGAGAAGAGTCTTTCCCTCCCCCACCCCGCAAAAAAGGAGGTAATATTTACACGCAAAGAAAGAACATATATGGGGGAGGTATCAAATCTCTGCACGAGTCCACAATAAAGTCATCCAACAAAGCTCAAAATGGATTAATATTGGCAATTCCAATCCTTTCTGTCAACATGATCCCTGGTTTGCTTTGCTGCAATCAACCCAGCTTCACAATGGCATCATCCATTTCAGTTGGCTTCTCATCTCTCACCAAGCATGTGAATCGTCATGCCCCAAGAATTCATTTAGGTTTTCATCCTGGAAACAATCAACTTGTTGACTTGACCAAAAGTCAAATATCAAACATCATGATTCCCCAACAGTTCTATTTATCAGCCTTCCGACCTGATTGTTTGATATTTGCAGGTTAAATAAGATGTTTTTTAGAGAAGCAAGAGTCTAGACAAGAATCAGCCTCAAAGAGTGAAGTTCAAGATTTGGCTATCATCATCTTGCGCTTGGGGTACCAACCTTTCATTTTCATAGCTTCTCTTGACTGTTAATGAATAGTAATGATCCAAAGAACTCTAAGATCACGTAGTCTTTATCATCTATGTCATACTGCATTTCTCTCATAGTTCATATTCATCTTTCTAAACATTATTGTGTGATTTGTCTTCTTTCAGTGCACACTTGCAGAATGATGTTCAATGCAAAAATATACGTTGGGCCCGAAACAGACATCAATATGAATAAAGTAGAATAGATAAAACAGGAATTACGTAAGAAAGTTAAAAAAAGATTTGCTAATGTCAATGTTTGAGTCGTTCAAAAGCTAGTTGAGAAAATTTTCAAAATACAAGTAAAACTAAGGTGGTTTCCCTGAATAGGAGTGCAATGCTTTTTCCCATCTAAATATGAATGAGTAAAATATTTCTATCATGACACTATCAAGCATTAATACTCCGTATAACTTTATTAGTGCCATTCGGGGTGACAACTCTTACTCCCATTTAGAGAAAAAAATACTCCTTTTAAGGCAATTAAAGAAATCATCTTGTTTTACTCTTCTAAAGGCAATTTCTTATTTAACTGTCTTATGTAAGGAGCACTTGATTAGAGTATAAACTCAAAAACAAGATTAATTATAAACATTATATATCACCTGTGTCCTAAAAGGCATAAGGCGTGACGATGCAACACGAGTACACGACTAAGCCTCAAGCCTTAGAAGCTTAGGCAAGTTTATTTGTCGCTTAGGTAGGAAGAGGCGCTCTGAGTTTTTACTCATTACACAAAGTTTTCTAGAGCTATTAGTATGTATTTAAATGCATTTCATGTAAAAACATTCTATATTTCAATTTTCGAACAATTTGCTTAACTTCTTAGCCATATCACTGTATCTATGATTTGTACTCATTTGTTATTGTTTGGGAAAAAGACAATAGTTAACTTATGTGAACTTTATTAAAGAAATATCTGATTTACTAGGGATTGTATATAGAAAGATAAATATAGAGCCCGTTGGGTAGCACCAAAATCGGCTGTTTTGGCTGATTCTGTTGAAATTTATGAAGTTCTGGCTAAAGGGCTGCATTGGCTGATTCTGCTGATTTAAGAAAAAATATTTTAAAATATATTTTATTAATAAAATAAAGAAAAAAATATATGTAAAAATAGCTAAAATGGTCATCTACAGTAACTTCAACCAATATAGCCAGAAAAGTCTATGTTACAAGAACCGAACCGGACCGGCCGGTTCGACTCGGAAACCGGCGAACCGGACTCAATCCCGGTCCGGTAGGGAGTGAAACCGCTAATTAGTGAAAACCGGATTTAACCGGTGGACCGCGTAGAACCGGCCCGGAGATGGGACGGCCCAAACCCGCGAAACTCAGTCAAACCGGCCCAGGAACGAAAAAGTGTTGCTGGAGGGATTTGAACCCTCGTCACTCGAGCGAACTGAATGACACCAGACCAATGGACTACTTTCAACTTGTTGACAAATTATGTGCTTTAGCTACTTTTATACTCTTTTGACGTATTATTTGACTTATAAAAATGTTATGATTGTTATTCTGCAAATAATAATCATCATAGTAAAAATAAGAACACATTATCTCTATTATTAGAAGTAAAAACATGAATATAATATTTTCAAATTTTGTACAAAGTGATATATTCATATTTATTGTCTTTAATTTCAAATACATTTTTAAAATGGTTAAAATTTGTATATTTTAGAACAATTATTTTATTTTTCATGTTTTTCGAGTATTATCAATACTAATTTATGATTGAAAATTACATTCTTCTTAAAAAATTTATTTTGATATATCCAAATTCTATGTTTTTATTTTAGTCAATGTTGACCGGGTTAATTAACCGTTGACCGGGTTGACCCTCCGGGTCCGGGTTGACCCTTGACCCGATCATCGCTCCGGGTCGCCTTCCAGTCCGGTTTTTACAACATAGAGAAAAGTAACTCCAACTTTACTTTTTCTGCTTATTACACAATTCGCGCGAAAGCAAAAATTACGCGTTTGGTGAAAAAGTTGGCTGATAAACCGAAAAACAGTGTTGCCAAACGGCCTCATAATCTATAATCCTTTGAATCTATAATATTTTATAATGATTTTACAGGATATCAACATGTCGTTATCTATAGTACTTGACCTTGGTGATGAATCATCTCACGTATGATTCTACAAATTTTTATTGTCAATGATAAGTTGAAACACCTCTCCTTGTATGGTTATGACAATGGAAATTTCATCTGTGATATGAACAATTTGCCTCCCACATAACTCTACTAGCACTTTTCATTTTGCCTTGCCAAACCCGAGCATTACGCTCCTTCCATAAGCCCCAACAGCCCCACACGACCTCCTCCACGTTTGATTTTTTCTTCACCTGAAACAACTTCTCCAGCCATTGCATAAAGGTGTCAACCGTGAAAGCAGTTGGTGACCAACCCAAAGAGCTCCATCCCTCTATAGCAATCGGGCAATGAACGAACAGATGAAGAAGCGATTCATCAGATGCTCCGCACAGTCCACAGATTTCCGTGCAAGGAACTCGCCTCCTCCTCAAATTAGCTGTCGTGGGTAAAGTGTTGCTACAAAGCTGCCAAAAAACGATTTGATTTTCGCAAGTAACCTCCAATTCCACATGTCCGTCCGTTATTATAATAACTAACTTGTTTGAACTCGGGCAAGTGAATACTTTTCTCCTTTATATTTATATATGGAGATAAAAATATGCTGGTATTTGGATATCCTGCATCAACTAGGTAGTATTTACCTATAATTAAACAAATCCATGTATAATTACAAAACATAATAATACATTTTCATCATAAGTATAAAAAATATTTACACTTGCATCTAGGAGGGATTTGAAAATTCTTTGATGAGTCACGAATAGTAGAGTCGAAAATTCGAGAGTCATGTGCACTCCCTTCCCATCTAGGCAACACAAAAATGAAACACATTTAAGAATCAAATGCAACCATAACATTTTGTGTTGTGTAACCCTTCCTAATTCCTACCTATAAATGGAATTTGCTTATGAACCTTCGCTTCAATGTGAGCTCCATCCATAGTTCCGATGCAATCCTATCAATCATATACTCTCTTCGGCTCTTAAAAATTGATCATATTTGATTGACACTGAAATTAATAAAGTAAAAACAGTGTCATTGAGGTTTGTGCAAAAGAGAAAGAATTAATTGAAACCACAAGTTTTTTACTCCCCTCATCCCAAAAAATTCTTTCAACTTTCCTTATTGGGCCGTCCCAAAAAATCTTCTCGCTTACTAAATAAGGAAAGAAACGTATGATCAAAACCCTACTTGGCCCTTTCTTTTTTAATTAGATCGTGTCTCTCATTTACCCCATCTGTCTCCCTCTCCCTCATTTACTCTATCTCCCTCTCCCTCATTTACTCCATCTCTCTCTCTCTCTCTCTCTCTCTCTCTCTCTCTCTCTCTCTCTCTCTCTCTCTCTCTCTCTCTCTCTCTCTCTCTCTCTCTCTCTCTCTCTCTCTCTCTCTCTCTCTCTCTCTCTCTTTCTCATTTACTTCAACCACCCCCTGCAATCTATCTACCCTCACCCTTTCGCCTCCCTCTCTCATGACCTTCATTATTAATCTCGCATGTGTGTAGCAGATGATTTGGATCTAAACCCTAACTCCACAACTCACCCTTTCAATCACAGACCCTGCATCGGACCTGCATCGAACTTGCATGGATCCATACTCCCTGGAAGATGATGATCCACTGATCATTCCTGATAGTGAAGAAGATCTTGCAGAGGACAATTTGCGATTATCCGACAGAGGTTATGGCGGAGAACAATGAAGAGGTTATTGTCCCTCACAGTGAAGAGCGTATTGTCCCGGAAAACGAATACAATCTGGTTGTGGACAATGAAGAGGAGATGGAGATTACAGAGGCGTGCAAGACAGTGGACCCTAAAGTGCTTAAAAGACGCAGAGAGAGCGAAATGCACCCTATTCGGAGGCTTGGGCAAGAAGACTTCTTAAAACTAATTATTCCTAAATGGGAAACGAGAATGTGAGACGTCCACACATATTAGGAGAGTTTATAGCTTACTCTATCTTGTTTTATGGTTTAATTCCTATTCTGCTTTCCCGATAATTTTGAGCTTGTTGTGGACTGCTTTTCTGCTTTGTCTCAAATTTATGTGTCCTAAGTGTGTTTTTTTGGGGGAAGCAATGATGAACAAACAATTAACATGATGTGTAATGTGATGCATGTTGTTTGTAAATGGTTGTATGCTCTGAGTACTGATAGTTTTTGCATATTGTAATGACCATTTGATTTGAGTAGTGGTTGTTTATGCATAATGAGATGAGCTTAAGGTCTGTGTACTAGTAGTTTATGCATAATATGATGAGGACATGTTGTTTGTGCATACTTTGATAATTGTAAGGTCTGAGTAAAGGTAGTTTATGCGTACAATGATGATCATAAGACCTGAGAACATGTCTTTTATGCATATTGTGATGGGCATAAGGTCCGAGTAAAGGTCGTTTATGCATACTGTCATGAAAGAATTTTCAGAATGGATTTTTTCTACTGCCAATAAGGTCTGAGTATGCTTCTACTTGTGCAACAATGATGACCATAAGGTCTGAGTAAAAGTTGTTTATGGATCATGCCATGAAAGTATTTTTCAGAATGAGTTTTTACTACTGCAAAAAAGGTCTGAGTATGCTTCTACTAGTACTAAAGGTCTGAGTATGCTTCTATTGGTACAAAAGGTTTGAGTATGCTTCGACTAGTACAAAAGGTCTGAGTATGCTTGTATCCATAAAACTTAAGCCTTGTTCAGTTTAACCTAATATCCTAAAACGAAACCCTAGGCCAAAACCCAAACACTCTGGTAGATGTACTTCATAATTGAACATGGTCTTGATCATCATCTTCAATTGTGAAGTGCCCCTGACCTTCCTCAATGGTGTCATTACTCACCCTTGCATGTTGCCTTAAAATATGTTTTGTGCCTTCCAAAAGTCCCACATCTACCTCTATGGTAATTGAAAGCCTCCTTTATGTGATCATCCTACTTGTGAACTTCTTTGACTTGCGCACTCTGTGTGGATCAGTTTCTTCCAAACCCATGTAAAAGCATTGTGAAGTATTTGACATGAAAAATCATTTTTCATCGATGTGTATCACATTTTGAAAACTTTGAAAACTTGGCTTACATGACATTGATTTGTCAACCTGTCTAAGACAAAACGTAAGTCTTTCCACTTTATTTGCATCAGTTAGGAAAGACTTAATTACATTTGTATGACTTCTAAGCACACCTCTATGAACCAATATGTGGATACTTGACTTTGAGATTGAACTGGCAGAGACTAATGCTCTATGTTAATCCTTCAATACAGTGAGATCTTTGATATGTTGGATACATCAAATTCAATCTTTTTCTGTCAGATTCTCCTATATGTGGAAAATACTTCTTCTGGACACCTTAAATTGCGAAGCAAGTTTACTGAAAATATATTTTTGAGCTATCAAATTCCCCCAAAAATCTATGCTACTGGATAGTAAGAGTGCATCTACTGTGCTCTGTTTTTTTGTGTTTGATAGCCTCTTTTTTCATTGTTGGTCCTGCTTCGCCCTCATCATCTGTTAGTATGTGTAGGTTTGTTGGGGCAGATGAGGAAGATGAAGTATTTATGGAAGAGGAAGCTGCCATAAAGCATTTATTTTGTGTGTGTGTGTGGAGTGTTCCGTAAATGTGAGGACTCAACGGGTTAGCATGTGTATTTGTAACCTCCAAAAATAGAAATTTCCTTCAAAAGTAGGAAAGAAGCCAAAAGTGCAACCACTTGTGGATGTAAAGCAAATGCTCATGTACACGAATTATTTAGTGGACATCCTTCTAATCAAACCTTTCACTTTCTAATTGTTGTTACCACTTATTTTTACCCCTCTCGGCTGAAGGGCCTTTTGGGCAAGTCAACTGTTTTTTTGTTGCCTAGATTTGGGGTCCAAGTCAATGCGAGAAGTTTTTATTGGGACGGATGTAGTACTTTTTTTAAAAGGGGGCTTATATTGAAATCAAAGCATTAGCATTCGGAAAGGGAGTAAACCGAGTAAAAGACCACAAACAGCCGTTAGTCCTCGAACCAGACTTGGAGTTAATCACATTCAAACAAGCAATATAACTCGTTGATCCATTAATGGACAAACCTGAGCCATAGACGATTAAAGTAGATCTAAACTCACCCCATCTTAATGCAAGAGTTTTACAATAATAAATAACAGCAACAAAGCAATAAACAGTCTGCTTAAATAAAACAACAATAAAAAATGCAAAAAAATAAACGTCCCTCTCCATTCTCACGAACACCTTCACAGGTCCGCCAACTGGATCGCTCCAAGGTGGCGGTTCAGGAGGGGGAAGGACCGTCGATCTATCTTTTCCCTTGCTCAGCCCTTCACCTCTCCTCGTCTTCTCGTCGCTCGTTCCGCCTCCACTACTACCACCGCCCTTTACCCATGTTGATTCGCCAGAAACTAACCCTTCGACCTCCTCCTCAATTGCAGGAATGAGACAACACTGCTCTAGAACATTCATAGAAGAAATGATTATCGTTTCTTGAACCTTGGATTCGTTTCAAATAATGCAGTCGCACCCACGCCTCCTTAAAAAGCACTCTAGAAGCTTACAGAAGAAGAGTCACACAAACAATTGGGGGAAAGAAACCCTACACGACGTGTCACGTCCCGGACCGCGTCCGTGCCACGTAGACAACCGCCGTACAACCCAATAAGAACAACGTAGTTCATCCTTATCAGATCATACAAGGCGTCCGTTAAGTTCTATTGCCAAGCCGATTAGTAAACCCATACAACCAACATCAATATATATATTAGTCAAACAAATGCGGAAAATAAGATATGTTTGATGCTTAGCCACACGTGGCAAATACGGGCACGCAGGCCCCCAAATGTTTTAAAAGAAGACATTGTTAAAAATATTCATGAGCAGTTTATCAATTTTGAATACGAATGGAAGCACGAACCACGTCTTCCTCCTTGATCAATCACCCTAGGCGAAGGTGCAGGTAGTAGGACTCTAGCCTCAACTTGAAAAATGTGAGGGCCCCCGAAGGGGTCAGTACTCCATAGAAGTACTAGTGACAAGCAGGCTATATGAGGAATAACTAATGTTTCAGACACGAGACCCAAAAATAGGATGATACATATATATATATATATATATATAGGTGTAACCATTGTTACCCCATTCCCAAGATAATACATACTGTATATACTTGTAAAATACTTGACCCGTAGGTCGTTTCCTCACAAAAGTCTTTTAGAGATAAGGTGTTTACCCAACCTTTCCCCTTTCTTTCCTGAATGCCTAGCTCAAGGGCTACATTCTACCTTCATAATATCCTACCGAGTTTCGGGAGTGTTTACCGTCCCGGGGATGCTCAACCCCACCGAGTTTTAGGATTGTTTACCGTCCTGAGGATACTCAACCTCACCGAGTTTCTGGGATTGTTTACCGTCCCGAGGATACTCAACCTCACCGAGTTTCTGGGATTGTTTACCGTCCCGAGGATACTCAACCTCACCGAGTTTCTGGGATTGTTTACCGTCCCGAGGATACTCAACCTCACCGAGTTTCTGGGTGTAACACTTGAGATTTAATATAAACGAATTAATAGTATTACTCATACCAACAGAGGTGCATCTCCTTTTAAGGGAGCTCATCACCCAAGAACTCCAAAGTTAAGCGTGCTCGCACGGGAGTAGTCTTGGGATGGGTGACCCCCCTGGGAAGTTTCTCAGGGCGCGCATGAGTGAGGACAAAGTGCGCGGTAAAGGCTTGTGGTGGTTTGTGGGGACAATACTATTGGTCCGGAGTAACTACCTCAGGTCCGGTGGGGCCGGGGTGTTACAGGTGGTATCAGAGCAACCCTGCGACAGTGTACTGATCCGTTGGATATCGGGCAGACACTTAGCAGGGGAAAAGATTCTCGGATTTGATTGAGATTGGTTTAAGGGCGCAACGAGGACGTTGCGATCCTAAGTGTAGGTGATTGTAACACTTGAGATTTAATATAAACGAATTAATAGTATTACTCATACCAACAGAGGTGCATCTCCTTTTAAGGGAGCTCATCACCCAAGAACTCCAAAGTTAAGCGTGCTCGCACGGGAGTAGTCTTGGGATGGGTGACCCCCCCTGGGAAGTTTCTCAGGGCGCGCATGAGTGAGGACAAAGTGCGCGGTAAAGGCTTGTGGTGGTTTGTGGGGACAATACTATTGGTCCGGAGTAACTACCTCAGGTCCGGTGGGGCCGGGGTGTTACACTGGGATTGTTTACCGTCCCGAGGATACTCAACCTCACCGAGTTTTGGGATCGTTTACCGTCCCGAGGATACTCAACCTCAACCTTATTTCTAACCAAACCCTAACCTGGATATTGCTAACCTTTCATTCACTTAACTATGGACAATACCTAGTCCTATAGTCATATAACAATCCTTAGTAACCAACGTGGACGGGTCTCACCTGATCGGTCCACGTTATCCTACTCAAAAACTACCCGTTTTGAGTATAACCCAAGACCCGGTCGGGTATCAAACCTTACCCGGTCGGGTAGGGCGGGCAGAAGCCCCTGGAACTGATTTTACTTGAGACCCGGTCGGGTCCATGACCTTACCCGGTCGGGTCGGGTGTGGCAGTGGCTTCTGGAGCCATTTTTAATCAATACCCGGTCGGGTATATACCCATACCCGGTCGGGTATCACCCTTGTCTCGGCGGTCAACGCCCGTTTGACCGCCCAAACGAAGTCCGATTAACGTGAAATTTTATACACATGTACTTCTTGTCATCCTTGATCCAAAAATACCATTTTGGATCCCTGGAATATTGTACATAATAAATTATCACATTTTAAATCATCAAACATACATAACATGCTTTTCAACTATGTTTTATGGTTAAACATGGCATAAGCAAATACTTGATTATCTTCAATCATTCCATAAAACATGTTTTTGATTACTTTAGGTAATCTCATGCCTTACGCAAAAGTTATAAAGCATATAGCCGTCTTCTCACCTTAATGAAGCTTATGAAGTTCTAGCCTTCCTTATTGAGCTCCGGTGAAACTCCGGTGAACTTCAACCAACTCCGGCGACCCTTTCAACCCCGTGAAAGTTCTTGAGATACCTTATACAAGTTAATAACAAGGTTTTATTATCATAAAACCCATATCAACATAAATAACCTCTAAAAGGTTACTCCCCGACGAATCGGTCAACTTTGTTCCCTAAATCCGTTTTGGATATGAACCAATCTTCCAACCCCTCATTCTTCACATCTAATGTGAAGAACAGTTCTATGGGTATGAAATATGATTACATAATCATATTGGAAGATTAAAGAAAAGGAAAAGGATTAATGGAGCCCTTACCTTGTTAACCACAAGTTTTTCCTCCTAACTTCCTTCTTTCTCTTCTTCTTTTTCCTTTCTTCTTCCTTCCCTTGCCTTATGCGAAAATGGAGATGGAAAATGGTGTGTTAGCAAGGTCTCTCTCCCTTTGATTGAGGTCTGGTCGAATGGGTGAGGTGTGGGAGTGAGAGTAGCTTCCTTTCTTTGGCTTATTCACAATAATATGAGGGAGGGTCTTATCTCCTTTCATACTTTGTCCCCCAATCACTTCAACCCACTTCACCAGCCAATTGATGCGGCTCCCCTTGCTATTTGCAAGACTAAAAACGTGGGGTGGCCCCCACATATGTGGGAGGTCATCCCTTTGTGTCCCCAAGTGTACACTTGGTCCCGAAAGTTGTATTTTCCGGACTGTTTTAACTATATTTCATTTAATCGGGTAAAATGAAATATCTATCATTCTTCCAATTATTATTGGCTATAAGAATGAATGCACATCCCCAACTTTTAATTTGATGGTCTCCATAATTTATCATGGCTTTTTATCTGTTAGCACATCGGTACCGATAAATGGGCTTTATATGCCCAAACTGTTACTCACATAATTTATATGGTCCATCAAGGATACCCACCATTATACACATATTATCTTGACCCAAACGAATATAATATGTGGTCCCGATAATATCGGACGGCCCCCACTTCCGGTGTGGGCCCCACGTGAATTTTACTATTCACGTAAAAGAAATGATAAAAATTCACAATCACGTAAAATGCGTTTATTCATTTCTCGGGTTCAATACATAACTTGATAAAGTACAAATACTTGGGGGCGGTGTTACAAGTTCTACCCCCCTTATTTGGGATTTCGTCCCCGAAATCCACGTGTTTAGTCAAACAGGAATGGATATTGTTCCCTCATCAGGGTCTCCACTTCCCAAGTTTGCTCCTCGACACGATCACTTTTCCAAAGCACCTTCACCATGGGTACCTCTTTACTCCTTAGCTTCTTTACCTGTCGGTCCATGATCTTTACCGGCTGCACCGCATAGTGAAGGTCTTCCCGGATTTCTACCGGCGGTTTCTCAAGAATATGTGACGGGTCCCGTACATACTTCTTGAGCATAGAAACATGAAATACATTATGGATCTTTTCTAACTCTGGAGTTAATTGAAGTCGATACGCTACCACCCCAATCCTTTCAATGATTTTGAATGGGCCGATGTAACGTGGGTTAAGTTTACCCCGACCGAGGAACCTGATGATCCCTTTCCAAGGTGACACCCTCAGAAACACCTCATCACCGACCTCAAACTCCAACGTCCTCCGACGTTTATCTGCGTAGCTCTTCTGTAGATCTTGGGCAGCCTTGAGCCTATCCTGAATAACTTTCACCTTCTCCTTGGTGATCTCAACTAGCTCAGTACCCTCAAGCTTGGCCTCGCCAACCTCATCCCAACACAAAGGTGTCCGACATTTCCTCCC